GGAGGGACAGCGCATGTCAGAGCCAGCAAAGAAAGGCAGAGGAGGGATGTGCACGTGTCTGACCCCTGCCCCGTGGCAATGGGGACGTTGGATGATAGGGTCTCCGTGTCATTGTCTACAAGCGCAATAGCGTCAGCCAGAACCAGGCCAGGGACAGACCACCAACTGCTCACATGCAAGCTCAGGTTGAAGCCGAAGAGGAAGAAAGCAAGTCCATGGGAGCCAAACATGACCTTGAGCACATCCCCTCTGAATTGAGAGGCTGCCTTGAGCCCTGCCGGCTGAAGGCCCGTGAGCTGCGGATGGCAGGAGATGACCACACGAGGGAAGCAAGAGGCCGTGCTGTCAACGAGAAGTCCAAAGCGATGTCAGAAGAGACCCTGAAAGCTGCTCCTCCGTGGAGAGTAGCGAAGGCAAGTGGAAGAAATGGTCCGAGTCAAAGAGCTGCATAGAAGGCGCCTCCAAGAGGCACCGTGAACGGCCAGAGGAGCGTCTTCTAAGAAAACGTGCAGAGACCTGGGGACAGACGGCCGTCCAGAGAAGCACACGGTTAGTGCTTCTCAAGCCGAAAGAACTGAAGTGAAAATCCAAGCCCCACGTTGTCCTCCTTAAAGATTCCAGGGCCAACACACTGAATGATGCGGGCAGCCTCAAAGGGAGATGGAAGGAAGACACAGAGTTACTGGATGGAACGTCCAGCTGTGTCCAGAGGTTGCACCTGAGCAAGGACCATTGGCACCGCAAGAAGTCCTATCCGCACTGAAGGCACGGACGTAAAAGAAAGCTTGGACCGGATGCTGATGACAAGGTGTCACCGAGCTGACGAAGCCCTGGGGCACTCACTCATCTCTGCCAAGGCCTACCAAGGCAACCCAACCGAGTGTGGAGATGCTCACACAGAGGCCATGGGTGCCACGTGCCAGTGAAAGATGCACACCCGTACCACGACGATGTGGTGCCGAGAGAAGCAGATGTGTCCGTTGGATTCAGCAGAGGATGTGGCCCAAGAGACATCATCGCTGATCTCAGATGGGTCTTGGCTGAACGCAAAGAACACCACGCAGATGTTTGCCTGTGTCTTGTTGACCGCGTGACAAGCCACGAGTGACATTGGGGAGCATGGAAATTCCGGAGCACATCACTGTGTTCATGCAAAACCTGTGCTCAGACCAAGAAGCAGTGGTGTGACCCTCACGAAGAACGCGTGTGAATCTAAGTCAGGAAAGGCAGGCCTCTGCTGTGCCTCTCACCGGAGTGACCGATCGGCACCCTGAGCAAATGCCCCGAGAAGCGGAGGGAGAAGAGTCCGGCATCGGGATCGGAGGAAGGCTCGTGAGCAACATGCACTATGTAGCTGACACCACCTTACTTTCTGACAGCGAGGAGGCCTCGAGGCCCTCGCTGATGAGGGACCGAAGACTGCAGGCTTCCATACGGACAGCCCCTCACCATGAAGATAAAATTACCCGCCCAGCCGGGCCCATCGGCAACATCATGGTAAACGGAGGAGAGCAGATTGCCGTGGTCCAGGATGGCAGTGGCAGGCGAGTGATCCCACGATGTGCTCGGTTGGCACCGACTCCTCCGTTCCCCCAAAGTTCTCAAGAGCAGACACCGAAGCACACCTGAGCCAAGCCACGGTGTTTTCGATCATCTCGTTTGCATGTGAAAGTTGGACAGTTAAAAGAATTTGATACGACGATGATGACATTATGACCTTCAAATATAAAATTTTCAAATTATGATGTTGGAAAGAATATGGAAAGTATCATGGACCTTCCAGAACCTTCCAAGACCTTCCAGCCGGTCTTGGGAGAAAGAGAGCCAGA